GATATATGTCCTTTAGCTGGTCGTGGTTTGCTACCTCTTTGATTATCTACACTTGAGTATCTACTTCCTTATTATATTTATGCCATCCATGTCTATTTTATCATTAAATAATTTAGTAAACAAATGGACATGGTATTGTTCACCTCCGGGGTACCGATTTATCTCGTAGATTCTTCTTAAATAGTAGATTCATCAACTCAACGTATCGAAACATGTTTGAATAGATTAGGATAGTAGATTAGTATAGATTCCATCATTATTGGCTCTATATTTTAAGGATGCTCTTTATTTAGAAAAATGACAGCGTAAGAATAACTGCAGAAATTGATTTATAAAAAAATATTTTCAGAAATCGTTGTGTTATATCTGTTATCTTTGGTATAAAGAAATGTTTGATTTACTTTCTCTCAGTTCCAAGAGTAGGAATAGTTTGTGTTTATATAAGTAGTCTAAATAAATTTTACAATCACTTGACTGATTACCTTTAATCGGAGTTGATAACATTTTGATTTTAGCGATAGTTGGTTCCCAGATGGTTTTTATCGAATTCCATTAATAACGTTCGCTTACAAACTTGTTTTTACTAACAATGTTACATTTCAGATATGGCTGGACCAACTTTAATCAAATTTTGAAGAAAATTGAAAATTTAGGCACAAATGTAACTGTATATATTTTACCAAACTTCTTCCTATACTTTTCCTTACGCATGCTCAAAGATGTTTTCCTTGACATATTTATATTTTTAAAACGACTCGTCCCCTTGATTTTATTCTGAAACTGCAAATTATTTTCCTTGAAATCCAGGAAACCACACACCCAATAGAAATGGCGGGAACTATGAGAACCTTAGTTCTATTTTTTTCTTTTTGCGATTCAAGAATATAGAAAATTATCTTACCGTGAGATCTGGCATATGGTCGGCACCATGCCAGAGTAACTAATGTGAACCTCTCCAACGTCCCACTTTGGTTACTTTAACATGGTCTCGATATTTCGACGAATCAAGTTGTCCAGGTTCTGTTTCTGTTGGAAAAGCCATAACGTACTTTGAGCATGATGCTGCCAAAGATAGCAATGGGTTGGGAGGGGAGGGGTTGGTGGGGTGGCTAAGGAAGGATCCGTTAGCATTGAGCGAGGAAGGAGTACATTGTTAAGAAAAGAGCCGTTGAAACGTTTGTTCGTAGGCTAAGGCTATAGCTGCTGTGCTTTAGAATAGTTTGTGCTGTGCTATAGGCTATATTTTATTTATTTATTTAAACCTACCGTGCCATTGAGGCAATGCGGGTATTGCAGAACAGGTTGTTACACTTCTCTGCATAAGAGGCTGCTTCTGCAATGAGACCAATTTGCATATCTTCATTTGCTGTTTACGTTCTTATTCTGGTTCTCGTTCCGGCGGTCCGATTGCTTCTTTGTAGTACGAGTAGTATTCTTCCGTAACTAGCTGAGGAAAATCGTTCTCTGCGGGAACGTAGAAACCTGTCTCCCTCAGCAATTTGGCTCTTAGCGGTGCAGTTCATGATAATGTGCTCAGCAGTCCCCGGGATCCCACAGCTAGGGCATAGGGGATCGATGTGTTTTCCAAAGCCATGGAGCTTGGCATGAAAGCTCGCGTGCCCTAGAAGGAATTGCGAGATCTACTAATCCGGGAGGACCCTGCTGTTGTGCTATCGGCAGTTCGTAAGCTAAGGCTACGGCTGTTGAGGTAGGGACTGCTCGTAGGGGGTGCCCAGTAAGCCATGGCCCACTTGCCCATCCCCCATTCCCTCAAGGTCAATGGCGCGGCAATCTACCCTCTCCCCTCCCAAGATATTTTATTTTTCACTTCTCTTAAAAATAAAGCAAGAGAAGGTAGAATTAGAAAAAATCATAGATAATACACAATTACACTTTCTGCAGTCTCTTTTTTTCACTCCCCAAATTCATAACCCAGCTAAAATGTGCCCCCCTCCAAAAAACCTTTAAAATATGTCCTCCTCAGAAATGTTGATTCCTTCTCCTTCTCCCTTCTGGGCACCCTGGTCTAAGGTTATAGCTACTGTGCTATCGACTGTTTGAAGGCTAAGGCTTATAAATAGAATAGTTTGTGCTTATAGCACATGCTGCTGAGCTAGCGACTTTTACATAATAGTTTGTTTTGAACCAATACGAAATGTGACTTCTACAGCTTCGTGAAATTTTTAATTACTAAAGTTTATCTTTGGGAATATTGGCGTTGAAATGATTTTTTGAAGATTTATGAACCATAAGCCTCACGATCAGCAATAGATGGCGTTGGCGTCCGGACTCGGAAATTTATATTCTTTGTTTATAAATGCGTTTTATTTATTTGTATGCCTTTTGAATTATTTTTGTACAAATAGTCTTCATCAGTTCCGTAAACATCAGTAAAGAACTTTGTCCTTAATTTCAATCATTGTTTAAACAAATTTGAAGTGCTTTCGATGGATTGCCGCCAATCCTTTCACTCATTTTTATATTTGTATTTTATATCGGCTGTTCGCTATTTAACAGCAAATAAATACTACCTGAGCAAAGCAACGTTATTAAATGTTACAATAATGAAGACATTAATTAATAAATTGGGGTATGTTTGATACCAGATATGACACTGGCTGCTTTTAGCAGAGAATGTAAGCTCTTGTTCCTTTTCATGAATTACCCCCCGTTATTGTTCTATTACTACCTTAGTAAAATAACTTGCCCTAAAATGGTGGCTATCTCCAAGTTTCAGTTTTCGACTTTCGCCCATTTCGCATTCAACGGCTCGATTTTGTATTTATAATTGTAAAAACATCCGATATATGTTTTATTTTGAATATAAGAAGGCATATATAATTTACTATCAATTTTATTTATATACTACGTTTGCTACCAATTGGAATTCTACGTAATAAAATTTATAACCATTTTATTATTATTTTATTATTTTATAGCTTTAGCATTTCGTCGCCAGCGGTAACAAGTGAGCCTGTTTAACGTTTCAAATTCGTAATATTACCATGTTGCCGACGATTTAACAAATATAGTTTGAATGGAAAGTTATAATTTCCTTTTACATTTTCTACTTTTTGAAAACTCCCAAAACATAATAATTACCCCGGAAATCATCTCCTTTAGTTGTTTTTCTTGCTAAAATGATGGCTCTAGTGCTTCCTCAACTGGTTTCTCTACTCTGTTGTTGATTTTTTTATGTTTTTAAAAATTCACTGGTTGTCCTCGTCTTGAATATTTCTTCAAAATTATAATGGACCTTTTGGTAGAGTCGTCGATACATATCGTCGGCACCATGGTAAAGAAACAAATGTCAAAAATCACTTTCTTCAACTTCGTCCATTTACCAAAGTACTTCATGCCCACCCTGCGTGCCAATGTATCGAATCTAAGAAGACTGGAATGTAATATAGGATTAATGATTTTATACGAATTTATCGCTATGTTAGATAGGTAGATTTTGAAGTGATAAATGATAATATTACAAAGTTTATGTTGGGCAAATTTACATTTGTTACTTTAACATAGTGTCGACGATATGTTATCTTCAAAACTGCCTGGACATTTTTATTGAAGTTGTCGGGTCAAGATTTTTATTTGATCTTGATTGGTATATATTAGTGACTTTTTTATGATAAAATTTTTTTATTTAAAATTAAAAGTTTTACGTTTCGTCTCATATTTAAACTTTCTTTGGGCCGCCTTGCTAAAACATACTACTTAACGTTGCTGTCGAACCTCCGTTTATCTGCTTTCTTTCCAATTACCTGGCAGAGGGCAGTGCTAAGGTAAATAAATAATCGATTAGGAGCTTTGAGTGGACTTGAACAATACATCGATACTAGAACTATCGACTGGGACTAGCGACCTTGTCCTGCATAAATAAAGCCAAGCAGTAAACCCTCTGACGTCACGCAACTGATTACCTATGCATCTCTTGTTATAAATAAAATAACACGGCTCTTTATATCTTTTCAATAATAAATTAGCTATCTCAGGTTATATAAATACATACATATATATATATATATATATATATATATATATATATATATATATATATATATATATATATATATATATATATATATATATATATATTCTCATTTTATTAGGTTTTTATTTAATAGATATTAGGCCATATGTCATCAATGAAATACGTTCTTATTGTATTTCTTTATATACCAACGTTTCGGCTATTTGACCCATTTTTAAGATTCTGTAAAGATTTTTATTTTCTTAAAATTTTCTTTAAATTATATCAATTTTTAAAAATTTTGTTGATGTTTTATCACAACTATGTATTATTTCTATTTAGTAATTTTTAGACCATTAAAGTGAACTTTACCTCTGATCTGCATTTGTCAAATAGTGAATGAGAAAAAAAAAAAAAAAAAAAGGAGAAAACTACAAAACTACTTTTTTTTCCTCCTTCCTTTAACTCTTGATTATATTATACGTAGTCATTACATTTTGATAGACTTTACAATATCTCAATTTTACTATTTAATTTTATTCCTTATATAACTTCATATTCCTTTTCTCTGATTTACATTTTATTCTAAGATTACCAATTTAATACTTATGTCACCTTATTTTGATTATGTTCACTTCATTATTCCACACTTTGTAACGGTTATTATTATTTATTTCTTATTTCTTGTTATTGTAATTATTCTACCCACTTCATTTTATTTTAATATTGTTTACCTACATTGTTCATGATTCTCATACCTTGTTATCTGGTTCTTTTCTTAGCCCTCATGAAGGCCTGAACTTCAGGTCGAAACGTCGGCAAATGTTAAAATAAATATTATTATTTACTTTTGCCTTTTTATTTCTGACTGATCATACCAACCTTCCACCCACAACATATGATTTGTTAATTATTCTTTAAACAATTAATATAATCCCTTTACCTCGGTATTTAGATTTAGGTTAATCAATAAATTTTAGATTGAATTATTTGCTGAGATTATGTTGACACCAGCTGTATCCCCTACCATGCCCGTGATCCCCTCGACACGACCATGACCTCCGTTAAGCGGATCCGATGGTTTGTCGAAATCAATCTTCCTACGACAACGACAGTCTTTCTGAAGGTTCATCCTTTTCAAAATACAAGTGCTAATATATCTCGCAATGCTGCGCTGTTCGTTAATTGTTTTAGATAAGTGGCACTCAAGGCTCGACGGCTCCCTGTTTGTTAAACGAAACACGAAATGAGAAATAGCAAACATTATTATCATTGTTTGTCGATGAAATGGCCTCAGTCAAAATAGTGCAAGCATTCATTTTGCATGAGGTGGTTACGTCAAAAGGCTGTCATGTTGTGGCTCACAAGAGTGGTGCAATTTAAGTCTGTATTTATTTTGCGAAGAAAAATATTCCCAATTCCTCCCTCCCCTTCCCTCCCCAAAATAATAAATAAAGAGGTATTCGAACTTGATGAGGGAGGGAACACTTCTGTGATTTTTCTTTGATTTTTTATATCTTTCTCATGATTGAACCAGAAATTGTAGGAATGAAATGACCACCACACATTTTTGGTTTATTATTTTCAATAATTAACCATTGTGATCTACCAAAAAACCCCCTCTCAAAATTTGAGATTTCACGTTTCAGGATGCGTAGAATCCGAAAAACGAATAAAAAAATTTTTGTCCGTCTGCCGTACGCTGTAAGCCGTCCTTTTTTTTTTTTTATTTATTTTTTTTTTGCCGTCCGCCGTCCGCGCATTTTCTCCGGAACTACTGGACCAATTTTTTTCAAATTTGGATATAAAATCAGACATTATTATTACTATCCGTCTTTTACTTTTAAAATGGCGGCCGAAAAACCTGCGTTGCTATAGACTGTAGCTCCTAAACGAATGTACCGATTTCAATGAAAGTTCGCTAAAGACATTTTCTTGACGCCCTTTAAATTTATCTATATAACATACTTCAACGAAAAGAAGCTGGAAAAGAAGTTACGAGGAATGGTAAAATTTAATTCCGAATAACTTAAAAATCATACACTTTCTTGTTGATATTGTATATGGTTTTTCAAAAGTTTACCGAATTTCCTAAAAAAAAAAAAAAAAAAAAATCGTTAAAATCGGACAATTAGGAGCAAAGATATGGTCTCCAGGTTTTTTTTTTATATGAACTACTCCAAATGTTATATTCTTTGTTTGTTTTTAAATTTTGAATGTGTTACTGAAGTAATGCTACTTTTTTTTTTAGCATATTACTAATGATTAAAAAAAAAGTTCAGTCCAACAATTGGAATCACCTTTTATCTATTTTTCTTTGTAACTAGGAAAGTAATGTTACTTTAGATTTATAGTGAAAATAATAAACCATTGTGAAATAATTTGCAGCGTTTTTTTTTTTTTTTTAAAGTGTTTATTACTCGAATTCATCTGGAAAACATCCGTCGACTTCCATTCATAGACTTGTCTTAGTTGAAACTAAAGCAATCTATATTTCTATCTCGTTTCTGCAAGTTAAAAGAGAAAACTCGACGACATTAATTGCAAAACAATTACTAACATAAATATATGTGGCACCTGTGCAAAGTGTGTTAAGTGCAAAAACTATGTTTAGAGATTCAACCCATTATTCACAAAGGAATGTTCATCTCTGTAATAGTTACGTAACTTAGCCCATTCGACACAAAGAGAGAACATTTAGTTTTCTTGTTATTCTCATAAAAATTCACAAAATGCACTTAACAAACTTTTCACACGTGCCACCTATATATTCTGTTTCTATTTCTAATTGCTAGAAAATGAGTTTTTGTTTTATTTATGGACAACTTTAAACAAATTTATACTTGTTATAAAGAAGATATAAATATTTCAGTTTATGCTATTGAAAATCTATTACCTCAATTCAGTGTTAATATTATTACTATTATTTCAAAAATCGAAATGTATAGATATTAGTAGTCCGTGGTACAGACCCCTTTTTATCAAATTATTAGTATGCGGCTAAAACTGCGTAAATAGCTTCATCTCATCGCAACCTACAAATATTGTATTTACCAAATTTGTCGAAATTGCGGCGTTTTCGATCTAGAGGTCGGCAAACTTTGTCTATTTAATTAGGTACTAAATACTCGCAAATACTCATTTTCTTTCCACTTGGATCGTAAGATGATTTGATCACAAAATCGATAAAAAAGGTGGACCACAAAAATATTGGGCATTTGGCCTTTATAGCCTCGTAATTTTGACAATTTGGGGGAGTAGATCAAGCAAAATGGCTCAATATTTTTAGTTGCCTCCTTTTTTCTCGACTTAATGCTCAGATTATCTTAATCAGATTCAAATGGTTTTTAGTACTTAATTTAATGTTATTTGCCATTGTTGTATTTGAATATTTTAGAATTGGATTAAGATTCTTCGCGAAGAGGAGAGAACGATCCCGGACTCAACTGGTACAGATTCCCTTTTCTCAAATTATTAACATCCGGCTGAAACTGCGTAAATAGCTTCATCTCGACAACATCAATTAAAATGTAGCCTAAAAAAATAGTAGGCCCATATAACCTTGTTATTTTGACAGTTTTGGGGTGTAGGTCTCGCCAAATGGCTTAATATTTTTTAAGGCCACCTTTTTCCCCGACTTCCGGTTGATTTAGGCCGATCTCCAGATTGAAAACACCCTAATTCCGAGAATTTTTGTAAATGTAATATTTGTAGGTTAAGATGAGATTAATCTATTTACGAAGTTTCAACCGGATATTAATAATTTAGCAAAAAGGGAAGGGGTCTGTACTCTACTAACTATATTATTGATATTTTGATTTATTTGACAACTACCTGATAATATCGGTGTTATTGTTCGATATTTACATCCCAACTCTTTTGGAAGATATAGAACATCGAACCGTAATATATCGATATAATTTTTCGATTTATCGAGCTAATATTTCATTATACTTGAACTATATCGATCATATCTAGGCCGTAGCTGAGGATACCCCTTCCGACCCACTCCTCAGTCTAATCGTGGAAGCCTCTTACATCTGGAACCCACTTCCTGTTCTCTCAGCCTTGGAGTCGGCTACCTCTCAAGGACGAAGGCTCCAATTGTTTGTTCCGGATGTGATTGTCTGCGGTTATGTTGTTATATTTATTTATAATTTGTTATATTTTTACATGAGTAAGAAGTATTATCACCTCTCTTAAAAGAGTATGGTTTATTTATTTAGCTCTGACGGCAGAAATATAACCCGACGGATGCTATCAAGTGACCTGCTGCTCTTATAGTGTCAGGTTGCAACTTCCGCTCTACCTTAGTTCGTAGTTCGTTGGATCTACCAACAAAACCATTTGCGTATATCGTCGACACCATGTTAAAGTAGCAAATGTGAAAAATCACAGTTTTCAATTTCTTTCGTCTACCAAACTCCACAAGATCCATCTTGAGGCAAAGTATCGAATCTGAACTGGGACCGAAATAACGGTAACATAAATGTCATTTTTACGAATTTATAGATTAGTTAGTTATTTACACGTTGTAGTAACGAATAATCATAATAGAAAGTTTACATTGCGCAAATTCACATTCATTACTTTAACATGATGCCGACGATATAACTACTCTCGTTTAATGTGAACATTTCTTCGGCACCATGTTGAAGTAACGAATCTTAACCGGTCGAACGTTGCATGGTGTGTTACTTTAACACAGTCTCCTACAAAATATCTGCTGAAAGTAATTAATATTAATAATTACATTGTGAGGATGTATTGGCTTGTCATGGGTCACAGGCGGACATACAGGAGGTGGGAGGGAGACTTTTGGGCTGAACCCCCCCCCCCAAAAATGGTAAAATGTAATCATGTTTTACAGAAAAAAATATTAAAAACTATCTCCTAAAGTATTCTTGTTCTTTTAATTAAATTTAATAGGACTTCAAGAACCACTTAAACACCATTTCATATAGGTAGTTAATTTCTTTCTTTTTTTTCAAATTAATTATCGTTATATGTATATGAAAAAAAAAACTTTCGTGCTGAAGCCCCCCCCCAAAATTAAATCCTGGATCCGCTAGTGTCATGGATGGTCCTGTTGGGCCTGCGCAGTGTACAGCTCCTGTTTATTGTGAGTTAAAGATATAATTTGTTTTAATAAACTAAGTATATCATATATATGTTTTTATTAATTATGATTAAGTTTAATGTAACACGTTATACTTTTTTTTATTAATTACGATTAAGTTTAATGTTGGGTTTCCTTTTGTTTCAGGTGAGGCAGGCCAGATCGGAGTGTAATCTCTCATATCAGGTTTATTTAATTTCTAAGCGGTGATATCGGTAAGCGATTATAGTTGTTACATCTTTCTTAGGAGCCTTTTACACCGAAGATTCAAGACGCAAGATGCATTGAGTCTTGATGCAGGTTGCATATGCGTCTTGCATCTTGATGAAAGGGATTTCTCACCAAACATGCATGTGCCTTTTGCGCCTTCTGTTTATATCTGTTTAGTTTTGTACGTGAGTTTGAAATATGACTAATCACTCATCCTACTCGTCATGCGACGACATTATAAATCTGTCTTGAGCTGTCAGAAGAAGACACAGAAGGAATCTTTTATGGTAGCGTCCATACTGAGATAATACTGTACAGCACAGCCCTGCTATGGTGTCTCAGCAATGAGTGAACCAACCAGTAAAGTTTCAGGCGTATTAAGAAATGGATATTTCGACTTTGACAAGCTGTTGGATCTTATGGAACCGTACTTTAAACACAGCCTCTAATTGAAGTTTGAAAAGAAAATGGACGAGTCAAGTGTGAGAGTCATGTGGGTTGGAATGGAAGGGGCGAGTATGCAAAACCAGCACAACAAAGGTGAATGCTGAAATCTCCAGCCGGCTGGTTCTGAAGAGGCGAGTTCGTCTCGCATCCATCTCCCATCTCCCTGGATGCATCCATTATACGTCTTGCATCTTCGGACCCTACATTAATGATACACATCTTCAGTTAACCTTATTTTTCCTGAATTTCCTTCCGACCTACCTTCAAGCTCATGTAGGAAATTTATCTCTCAGGTAGTACGAACCTGACCAGCTCAACAGTTAGAAAATTTGTAAGCACACTCTTGGTTCTTTTAGGTCAAGTTGAGCAATCTTCGGTCTATCCAATTTCACTTTATTATTTTATGTTTTTTATAATATTGTGTATAAATACGGTAGTCTGATCGTGATAGTTTCTGTTTAAAACTTATTTTTCATGGAGGTATTTTGATGGGCAAATCTAATTGGCAGATTAAATATAGCAACCTAAGTTGAGGAAGCTCACTGTATTAAAATATTAAGAAGTAGTAGTTATGATGAATACACTTTCCTCGCGATCACACTCGTGATAATTTTTGATGCCTCATCTTTATTTATTTTGCTCAATCTAATGAGATAAATAAATAAATTCAGAATCGATTTTTCGACTAATACAGGTTGTTTAACTTTAGTTATATTAGAGCGGGGTTAGCTGAGAGAGTACTTAGCTCTTATTCTCATGGACCAAGGTTCGAGTCCAGCGAGACAGATAAATATTTATTCCATTTAATGAACCGTGGATCGACTCTGGGATCAGGAGATCTTTCTTAGACACACTCAGCCTCTATAATGTTGATAAATCTTAATAAATTAATTGGCTAAGGAGAAAAACCTGACATTTAATCGTGACTCGTAAAATAAAAGAAAATTCAGTATAGGACTTCAGTGGTAGTCTTGGACCAACGAAAAACAAGAAAAAATTTAGTAGGAATATATCCCTTTAATATATTAATGAATTATTGAACATAATTATATATTAGATAGCATATTTCCATGTGTAGTTCAAAAGCGTACGGGAACTGCTAACGTTTAATTTTTTTTACATTATTTATATGACACCTTGGTTTATTATAGTTTTTGCCTTTGTTATATAGATTTTTATATTTTTTATTTATATATATTTTTTTTATATATATATATATTTTTTTTTTAATGTATTGTATATATGGTATGAATGTGCCTCACTCAGCCTTAGTACTCAGTGCCCTTAAGTGTGGCAAAATGTATTATTACTCAATAAACTGATAGATAAAAAAAAAAAAAAAAATTATATGACAACCAAAACTATCACTGAATGGCGGTAGGTCTGTGCCCGAAACCCTTTTTTCCTTCGTCCATTGATCTAAAGAGTTATCTCTTTAACGGGTGGGCCGATTTATTTTCCTTTTTAAATCTGCTGTTACCCTGTAGGGCTACCAGGCTAGATCGCTCTAACCAGCTCTGCCATAACCGCAGGAACATTACTTTGTCTAATCTGATGCTTATATTCCAAATCGGAATGAAATATTTCTCGACCTAAAACCATCTAACTAATTCGGAAGCCTAAGCCTAGTCTAGTTTTGCGCACTTTCAACAAACATCGCCATTCTCCTCCCTCACCTTGACTCCTTGACGATGACACGTGGTGGCCGTTGATGAATCAGCTGTTGAATGAAATGCTGAGGTGGAGCTTTCGAGAGTGTTGGCGCTGCCATCGTAATCCGCATGCTCCATTGCTGCCTCTCTCCGAGGTTGTGTTGTTTTTTTATTAAAGTTTTCAAAAGGAAACCATGGGCTTCTATAAATATTGTTATATGGTTGCAAATGTAAGCATACTTCATTAGTGTTGATTGTCATACTTTACTTTACAATATAATAAAACGATGTTATTGCTTTATAGAAGCGTTTCTACGGTCACGTTTACTGAAAGGATTCTTTTTCATGGAGTTTCATAAAAGTGTCTTTTTTTGTAGGAATATTGAAGCGGATTAAAGAAAGATCCTCAGGGTCAGTTTTTGGGAAATGCACACTGTTCCTTAATCAACGGTTATTGTACAAGGGGGTGGTGTGGTCAGCTGTTCTCCCCTCCTTTTAGGTTAATGGTTCACAAATATGGCTTATATAGTTGGTTTAGCATCCTTAAATTGCTAAGGCCATAAGTTCTGCTTCTACCCCTGTAGTTAAGAGTGTGGCTTCAGATTAACAGAGGCATTAGCTCACAATGTTGTAACTGCTAAAGGATCTCCTGATATCGTAATTATAACACGAACTATGAATAACAATTTTATTTGTTGTTCTTTTACATGAGGTGTTGGATAAAAACCTACTCTCCCTCCCTCCCCCCTCTGCAGTCTTGTCTGAGCTTCTCTTCCCAACAGCGGTGCAATTCTATTCGTTAGCCAGTAATTGTTATAATAGATTTATAAAATTACCTCCATTCGCACCTCATTTTTGTCAGTTGCCATGTTCAATTCATGAAGTGTTTTATTTATCTAATTTCCTCATCAGAGAGAGGTCATCGAACCGAATAGCAATACAGCCTGAAGGGGCTGATATAATATTATCGAGGCGGTGATTGGTTCGCTGGAGCCCGAGGAAGGTTTTGCACCGCGCCACCCATCAACGCCATCGAACCGAAGGTAGCCATGTCGCTTTGATAACGCTTTGAGCAAAACAATTATCTCGCAACAGTTGTTATCTCGGCTCGAATTGCGAAATGTTTTCTTCCATGTCTAGCTCATGCAAATATCGTTGCAGTTGATAAATCCATTTCATCTCAGTATTATCAGCTTGGGTACATGTAGAGGGAAATGAGGAGAATTTTGACGAACTTTATAATTAATTTTTTTTTTAATTTAAATTCTTTCCGACTGCTCCAACACTTACTAGACAAACGCTCCAAACTTTCTATTAATTACAAAAGACTTATCTACATAACTATAATAAGACCTATATGGACATACGGAGTCGAGCTTTGGGGCTCCATCAAACCATCGAATTCCTATCGTATCCAATCCTTACAATCCGAAATCCTCCGTAAAATCCTTAATGCTCCATACTTTGTCACAAATAAAACCATTCATAAAGACCTTAATGTACCATATATCGCTGATTTAGCTCGAATCAGATATCTATCCTTTCATGATAAACTTCAGTCCCATCCAAATCCACTTGTTTCCACTCTTGCTTCTTTCTCGATTCCTGATAATCCTCCTAGGCGTCTGAAAAGGAGATGGCCTCGTGGTCTTCTTACTTAAAATTATTTAGAGAGTGCTACCACTGGGTAGTAAATCTTCAAGCCTGTACATGCCATTATTTATATTTGCGCATATTTACTTGTTGTATTTGTATACAGTTGTCAATTCCATTAAATAAAAAAAAAAATAAAAAAATTTAAATTCTATTTTGTTTTTTTAGATTCCATTTCGATTAGAGTTTCATCTTCCATTGCTTAGGACAGCATACATTTGAATTTTGAGAATTGAAATTTCATTTTAAGCACTGTCCCAAAAAAATAATAATAAAGAAAAGATAATTAATATTTAGTTATAATAATACATTTTTCAGTTGTTAATAAAACATTTATATTAATATATTTTACATTCAATGTTTTAGCGTGGCAATGCGTGTTGTATATGCTACAGAAAATGCCGTTGAGCTGTTTTAGTAATTTCGTGGGCACAATGTTAAAGGAACGAATGTACAACTTTGGACAAGTTAACAGTCGTAACTTTAGCATGTTGCCGGCGGTAAACAAAATTCTGCAAATATCGTTGCAGCTGATGAATCCATTTCATCTCAATATTACTTGCCTGGAAGGTTTGGTGTGGTTGAATGGTGCCGACGATTTGTTCAGGGAAACATTTGATAGCCAAAAAAAAAAAAAAAAAAATTTAATTCCAATTCATATTCTTTGTTTCATATATATCTTTTCTTATTGTTTATATAATGATAAAGTATTAAATCGATTGATTATCTATAATGTAAATTGGTAAGATCTGTTGTAACATTATTATAGTATAGTAGATGTAATATTGTAGTATAGTTCATTTTGTTTCGTCATTCCAATCTTGATTTTTATTTTTTTTTCATTATTTTAATGGAATTTACAACTGTATTACATAGAGAATACAATAAGTAAATGAAAAATTTGTAACATGGCATGTACAACATGAAGAGAAACTACCCATTGGTAGAACTCAAACTAAAGTTCTATATTAGAAGATCCCGAGGCCATCTTCTTTTCAGACGCCTCGGAGGGAATCTTTATTTTAAGTCACACTTTAGTTCAATTGTATCTACTTTTTTTAAGTTTATTTGTTCGTTATACATGTGTGGATTTAATTAAGTATAATTTTTTATATCTCAATTTATAAGTAATTATAGTTCTCTTAAACAAGATGCAATTATAAAGTTATCTCAATTAATAAAATATTCACTTAGTTAACAATTATCTTTTATTTTCGTTTTTTTTTAAATATAAATATATATATGGCTCTGCAGAATTCAAGGGGAGGACCTCAACTGAAACCTTTCTATCCATCGTAGAAACTAACCTCCAAATTTGAGGCCGAACAAATACACGCGACAGGTTGTCCAAAGGTGTTTAAGTGAACACATTATTTGTTTGGGTTTCATTGTAGAACCTAGCCTGTTCCTGATGTTGAGGCTGACAATTTCTACCTTTGTATTGTAGCAGTGTGATATATCGATAGTCAACTTATCGCAGTGCAATACATCGATACTTCACAGACGTAAGTGAGAATTTTAAAGTTTTAAATATTAGGATCCTATAGTTTCTTACTTTTTAATTCTCTTTGATTTTTGGGTATTGTGTCATTTATATATGTATTGGTGTTCACTTCAAACTTTATGCAGTGACATCGATATGTGTTAATGAGAAATTTCTTATATTTGTGCATGTTAACAAAATTAAGAATCTATGTTTCGTATGTAATAAAGTTATTATTTACACCTGTATCCAAATTAAGACTAGTTGAAATGTATTTTTTTACTAACGCTGGTGTAGCGCCAAGGCTCCTCGCTTGTACCTGAGGCCCGCTCTACCTCCGCTGGCTTAGCATTGACATCCGCTCCTCGTTGGTAAGTTCTCGAGGGTCGGGTGTCAACGCAGTGCGAGCGGGGGAGTCTTCCGTCGAGGCAGCAAGGGCTGAAGAGGATCCAGGCAGCGACCCCCCTCTTCGAGAGGAAGCATGCACAATCCGTGAGCGATATTCGCAGCATAGCCCACTATCTGAAAGGAGTATTCTGTCAATGTAATACTTGTATTATAAAGGAAATGGTGAAGGACCATGAAGTGCATTGTCACTAGCCTCATCATATACTAATGAGATATATCGACTCCAGACTTCATGGTCTGAGATGAGTTGTGCCTCAAGCAGTCGCCTCCTGGCTCAGCATTGACATCAGCCCCTCGTCGCGAACCATGGAGGGCCTGGTGTCAGTGGAGGGCTAGGGCGAGCGAACCTCTGCTGTCCGCCAGCAGCCGAGAACAATTGTTGTTCAGGTCTGTGCTACGGTACGCGGTGGTGTGGTACGACCTGGACCTCGCTAGCAGAACTGGTCTTCGGAATGGCAATCACCTTACCACCTATCGGAGCGCTTCATCTCTTAATGCAGTTAAACCACTTGACCTAGCTAGTAATGGTTAAAGAGTAAGCGGATAATAGAAATACCATTATCATTATCTGTACATAGCGATAAACAGGCTTTAATTTTATTACAAAAATAAACTATAAAGATCACCATTTGTGTTAATACAATCTGCTGTAAATAATACGGAGAGCTGAGAAGAAACAAAATGTTAGTTTGGACTTTGTCCCGCATGAGTTGATCCTCGGACTGTCAACTAATTACTGTCGAACTATAATTACTACTTTTAATAGCTCAATATCGAGGTATTTTCCGGAGCGATGGATTTTGACTGTCGGTGTTTCAAAAGAAAGTAAATTTCATAGAGAGTGGACAAATTGTAATTCTCAAATTCTTTATATAAAAGTCATTAGGAAAAGGAAAACTATTTAATATTTTTAATATAAATAAAATGAACTGGATTGTTGAGGGAGCAGATTTACCTTAATATATTAAAGGCAGAAATGGAAATGACCATCCTCGAAAGGGTACGTCCATCGGAGGCCGAGCTAGGACACTCCCTACGGACACTCCAGGGCGGCAGTCCATGTAGTCCAAGTTGTAGCACACCACTCCGCTAGGATGTACCTCTTCCGGCCTAGCATTGACGTCTGCTCCTCGGTGACTTTAAATGAGGGTCAGGCGTCACTGCAGGGTTGCGGAGGGGAAGGATCAACTGGAAATTAGTTATTGCGGTGGGATATTACTACTTGCTACAATCCGAAAAACATATGAAAATATTGCAGCCAAATATATAACATAAATTTTTAAATTGCTTACGTCAATGTACTTTTAACAGTACTTTTGGTTTAACTGCTGAGTGAAAGTAGCCAACAAGAAGGCAGTAAGCCAATGACAAGAGATTTATTGTACTCGTACCACATAAGCAATATGCTGGACACTAGTAATGGAATGCTAAAGTAACGGGATCCAGCTTCACGATCAGCTTGACGATTTTGAACGATTTATTTGTATTCATATTGCAATTATGTACAAAATACAAGTATAATTTTAAAAATAATAGGAGTGGCTTATATCCATCCTTCTTCAGTCTATAATAAAATTAAATCTCCTCTTTTCAACCATTTTTAATCCTCTCAACTTTCCCCCTTCTTCTTTTTCTTCCATCCAAATGCTTCTAACCATCGGATCCATGGATTTCTGTCCCTGGCAAGGTCTCACTGCGTCCCTTGATTTTCAAGGTTTTAATGGGGTTTCTGTGAGTGTCCACGTGGCAGACGTCCATAACACCTCTGTTGCCTCTTTTCTAGAATTTCCGTGAGCGGGCGTACATTCACATTTTCCCGAACTCAGCCCCTTCGTGGTTTCCTCACAATTCTCCTAACAAACTTAATTTCTGAGGCAGTGGCACGGATTAGTAGCCTCTCCTCCGTAGTGAGGTACTGGTATGATGATCATTTTGAATAAGCAATGCTTTGCGTTCTGCTTCACCTCCCTTATTTCGATAACCGAATTGCATATATGGAAGTGAACGGAATTAGTCTTGGAAATTCTGCTTAAAATATCCGAACCCATTTTCCTAGATTTACTGATAACCGTGCCAAGCTACTTGATGCCTGTCACCGCCTCCATCTTAATTACAGATAATCTGGACATCTTGAGTTCTACAGACTTGAAGGACTTTGTTTTTTTGAGAATTGATACTCCAGTTACTTTCTGTTGAGGTCCCTCTGGGGATTCGGAAATAAGTACGATGCCGCCGGCACATAGGAGAAACTATGTGATTAACGATACAGGTTCTACTGGCCCATGAGCATTTGGGCTGTGCGTCTTATACAGATGGTGCCAATCTCATCCATATTTAAAATAAAGAGAAGGGCTCAGAGAGTCGCCATTTAAGCGCACAGCATTCTCTGGCGTTTGGTACCTTGATTTTATATTTTATAGCCTGTAGTAGAGATTTCTTTCCGGGACCCCGAGTCGGATGCTGCCTGCAGGTCCAAGAATGCTGGATAGACCTCTTCATGTTCCCAGGACTTCTCTATGATATTTCTCAAGGTTTGTTCTCTCCGCAGGATAGGCTCCACCATTGGTCCTAACAGACTATATGGAATATAATTATATGATATATACAGCATGGAAAACAGGCAAATAGGTCTGCAGTTGGAACAATCACTTGGACTTGCTCTCTTGTGGATGGGGATTACAAAATTGTACTCCCATTCCTGAGCAATTCTTTCATCGTCCCAAACCTTTTTACTTCTGATTTCCATCAATTGTAAATGTGCTGTTTTCATTAGTTTATTCTTTGTAAGTATATATCTGTTTTAAAATAGTATTTTATTTTATATGAAGAGTGACTAAGACTTGTGTTGTGTTGCAGGATGAGGAAGATGGGCGGGGAGGGCCCCAGCGACGGAGGGGAGTCGGGGCGTGGCTCGAACCCGGGACCCCCTTCCAAGAAGAGAGGCTTCCCTCGGTTCTCGCTGCGGCGGCTGCTGCACCCCGTGGCCCGCTCCTGGCTCGGCGGTCCCGCCAGGGTCAGCCTCTGCGCCGCTCAGAGTGAGTATCCCGCTGTCTAACATTTTCTAAACTAATCAGTTTTTTACGTTTCGGAGCCTCTCGCTCTACAGGTCACTTCTAGGATAAGCAGTCATCTTGATCCTCATCGATAAAGGATTTTCTTTTACAGGGCAATCCTTTATCAATGAGGCACTGTGTGTAACAAAGTTGCCGATACCACACTTCTGACTGTCAATGTTATTTTCATAATATTTCTTATAAATGTCTCGAATTGTAGTATCTATGAGTTGTCAATAGAAAATGGAACTATTGACCAATGAGGTGGAGTAATTGTCAGTCTTCTCTTAAATGTTCTTCACTCCAATTGCTCTGTTCTATTTGGATCGATGGTGAGCTGCCTTCAACTTGAATGCCTGACGGTCCATCCCAAGAATCGGTTCGCACTTTCAGGTTTTCCGATTGAGAACTGTTCCTCTTCTATTCCTAGGGAAGAGTGAGGATCTTGTGAGTGGCTGGCGGTGGTGAAGGTCTGAAGGAGAGATCTAACGGAGAGGATTATGACGAGCTGTGCAGAGGTCGGAAGGCCTCCAACAAGGGCTTTACACTTAGTAGTAGCGCTAGGATATCGAGTCCGCTTGGATGTACCTCTTCCGGCCTCGCATTGACGTCTGCTCCTCGGTGACTTTAAATGAGGGTCAGGCGTCACTGCAGGGTTGCGGAGGGGAAGGGTCAACTGGAAATTAGTTATTGCGGTGGGATATTACTACTTGCTACAATCCAAAAAAAACATGTGAAAATATTACAGTGTAATATTTATTATTTATATATTATTTATTTATATATTATAGTGTAAATGTATAACATCAATTTTTAAAATGCTTACGTCAATGTACTTACAACAGTACTTTTGGCCACAACAGTACTGTTGAGGGAAAGTGGGCTTTACGTCCTCTCTGAGGAAGATTTACCTCAATTGGTGACTAGAGAAAACTACCTGCACTACAGATCTTTGGTTTACGGGTGGAAAACCGCAATCGGCCCAACCAATTTCTGTATAGGAAAAAGAGGGCTGCTTTCTGGACGACCATTGGTGAGAACGGGCGAAGAAGGTGAACTAGAGGACGTGAGATATCAAGCTTGCTATGACATCTACCGCTTGCCCTGCAATGTCAGAAAGGAAGGAAGAGTGATTACTAAATACTTTCAGTTATTGGAATTATCTCTATGGAGTATGTGCCTTGATAAAATGATTACTACTGCCTCAGCCTCAATGTTAATAAATATTGAAATACAATTTTTGTTCTCAAATTATATAATACATGACTGGAATTTTGTTGATTTATGTTGGTCTCTATTACACTCGCTTGATCTCATTATCGAGGTTTGTACTACTGTCCTCACGTTTCGACATTATTTTTCTACTGGAATTCTGTAAATTTAGATTAAATTCAAATTTAAAGTCTTTGCTTTAATTTTCCATCTATTTTACAACTCTGTTCCAAGAAGCAGTTCTTGTCTGTTAACAATATAAAGGTAAACCTCCGATTTAAGCTAACCTTTTACCTATTTCGAGAAGGATGAAGGCGTTTTGCTGAGTGGCTAGTAGTTAGTTAGTTAGTAGTCAGGCTAGGAGCTATACTACGGTTGCAGTCAATGTTCTCAGTCCCCTTTGCTATGTCATGTTTTTTTCTTTAACTCAACATTAATTATTATCTTTTAATCATGTGCATCTTTCCTAATGAGAGAAGCTGCAAGAGAAGGTTATATTATCCCAACGCTGTTATATAATACGGCGGTATTGATTGTGGGTGTTCTCTACTGTCAGGAGCGATCGGTTTTGATGAATGAGGTATAAATCGAAACGAAACTTAATAGAGAAGTGACCAAATCCAATTGCGATCCTTAAAAATTATTTTTAAAAACTAGGATGTTTCGAAACTCCGACGGTGGTAAGTGGGTGAATTGAGACGGTACTAGTTTTGCCTTAAGCCTTAAAAAGCCAAAATGTACCGTTTTCGTGCTCAACCATGATTGGTTCCAAAAGCTTCTTTAGTGAGGGGAGGGGATAGTTGCCGCGAGAAAATTGTGACTTTTTAGGTTTTTAAAAATTCAAATATTGCTGTTGGTTAGTTATGTCCTAGGAAAAACTAAAAATCCCTTGCGAATCGTAATTACATTTGAATAGACCAATTTTATGCTGATTTGGACGCTATTACAGTATATACCACTCTTTGATCTGTGCAAATACACTTGTAACCACCACCTGATAGTTGTTTTATTTCTAAGTATCAACGGCTCTGTAACAATTCTCAGCCATGTATAATAGTAACCATATTTTTTTCTTTTTCTTTATATATATTTGTATGTACTTTCTTTAAAATGTAAGATGTTTGATATTGTATAGAAATCATAACGCGGATTTCATCCCCACCACATTAAAGAGGCCAATGGCGCCAATCAAGAGGCTTGCTATCTTGTTTACTGTAGGTTAAAAATAAAATAACGAAAGGCTCTAAAAATATCTCCTTTGGCTATCTTTATCTTTATCCATTAAAAATTAGCAAATGTTTTAATTAAATTTGCATTTAAGTTAACTAGTTTCTATTTGTTGAGCAAAAAGTTTTCTTTTTCATTTCAAAGTAAATATTTACAATATAATAAACTTGTAGGTAAGTTGTGGTAACTGACATCATATCACTTGTACATTTCAGAACTAAATATTTCAAACATGGAATACAAATATATATATAACTTATATATACATTGAAATGTATTAGTTTTGTATGACTTACTACAATTGCATAAGTGTATTGATTGGTTTTAAATAATTCTATGAGCTATCTGGAGATGTGAATGGCTTCATACCAAGGCAGGAAAATGTCATTTCCAGGAGTTGAGAAAAAGATAATTTTTGCTATAGTCTCAATTTAAACCAGTTCTCACAATTTTTTTATTTCATAATTAAACTTGTAAATTCGTTTAAAAATCGTCCTAATTAGTTTTCATTAAAGCTATATAACAAATTTTCAATTTTTCTCAATCTTTTGAAAATAGCAGGTGTCCATTTTTTATATGAAGCTATTGAAATTGAAGCTATAACTTGAAAATTCATTTAAAAATCGTCTTAATTAGTTTTAATTAAAGCTATAGAACAAATTTTCAATCTTTTGAAAATAGCAGGTGTCCATTTTTTTATATGAAGCTATTTATATAATAATTAAATAAGGGAGTAAAGATAGATTTGTGAATAATACTCGTTATAACATTCAATAGACAAAGTAAAAGAAAATATTGAGATTAATCGATTTTGATTTGTTCCAAAATCTATGTTAAAATTGAAGTTTTGTGATGCAAACAGAATTTATTAGTGATTAATTACCCACTTGTTATTAATGGTTTTTCTTTTTCACAGATGAGTCGATCGCCGATGTGCCGAGGGTCAACATTGAAGCGAGGCTGGCTTCAGAAGAGGCCACTACAACAAGCAGATCTGCTTCCACCGAGACAACGACTAGGGTCAGTCTCATAATTAAATGTTATACATTCACTAGCTATCATTCAATTAGATATAAAATAATATTACACCTTCAGTAAATATCATTCAATTAGATATAACGTAAGAGTTTTCAAATGATATTCAGGTGACATATGTTATCAGTTTTGTATTATTGTAATTCATTTAATGTTACGTAATTAGGTGCAAATTGGGCGAATATAATTTAATCAAATATTGATAAATGTTAGAGTCATTGTCCTCTGGATTACTACATTTGTTGAGAGAAATATGATTGAGGATACTCACCAAAGATTTCTTTCGTCCTAGCCCGTCCTGCAAAATGTTTGCCCAGTAACTACCTACCTACGTACGTACGTGTAATGAATCTGGGACCTTTTGGGGGCTTTGTGATACTTGTTCCTACAAGAATACGCGGTGCTGGCGAAAACACCTAATAATGCACCTCATAAGTGCTTGCTTACTGGAGTGTACAGGTTAGCGAACCTTGGGTCTGTATCTTTGTATTACGTAGGCAAAGCAAGTGTTTACCATTTCAGGAGGGAAACAATTGTCTAGTTGCTATGGCAAAAATAAAAACAAAACAGTCTTGAAGCTGTTTATTGCCACAATATTTGACAAGGATATAGACCCTACCATCAAGGATATAGACCTAACAATCATGGTTACTATCATACCTCTGGTGGTTTCTTCGGTTCTTCACACAGGATTAGTTCCTTAGAATTTAAGTGTGTTTAATCAATTCAATAAAAGGTACATAACGATTTTTTTATTATTTATTTATTATTAACTGAGACTATTTCAGTAAGAAAATGAATTATAAATGACAATTAGTTGTCATAAAATAACCCATTACCAAAATTAATTGTTTGGTTTTAGATCTTGATAAATATATATACCACAAAAATTATGTTTAATTTATCTTGGAACAAAACTAAACAATCATGAGAAATATAAAGCTAATAAAATAATGAATGGAAGAAAATAAATCTTTAAAATATAAAAACCTTTATAAATCATTTTGTATGGGTTTGTATTTTAGATTCCATATCACCTATTGTTTATAATCTTGTTACATTATTGAAGTAGCATTTTTGTACTAAAACAAAAAAAATTATATGTAATACATAACAGGTTGGAACCTTATATATAAAGTTATATAATCAGTAGTTGATTGAAATAAACTAGTTTAGCATGTTAAAACTTATTTTTCTGTTTTCTGTTTCAGAGTGATAACTTAATAGAATGTAACCTGTGCCTCAACGAGGTGAGCCCCGAGTACTTTCCGCAGCTGTCGACTTGCTCCCACCGATCTTGCTATTACTGTTTCCAGGTCTACCTCAGGGTCGAGATCACTGAATCTCGCATTAGTGTAACCTGCCCGCAATGCTCAGAACCTATGCACCCAAATGGTAAATATATCTAGTGCCACCTGTTACCCAGGGGTGGGCGAATCTGAGTATCAAGTATTTTACTCAAATTGAATCACTAGTTGCCACCGACCGATATATGTTGACATCTGGTCGGACGAAATTGTAATAAATGGTTAATAAAACTAAAAACTAAAAAAAAAAAACTGTAATCGTTTGACATCAATTACTATTGATGAAGTAGTGATTAAATTCTTTGTTACTCAAAAAAAGGTCAATATTTGAGTAAAATACTTGGTACTCGCTACCCAGAGTAGCATTAGCCCATCTCTGATGTCACCTGTCCGCAATGCTCAGAACCCATCCATGCACCCTAATGGTAATTATATCTAACACACTAACCCACCCATGCACCCTAATGGTAATTATATCTAACACACTAACCCATCCATGCACCCTAATGGTAATTATATCTAACACACTAACCCATCCATGCACCCTAATGGTAATTATATCTAACACTTATATCCTAAGTAATTTTTCTCAACTACTTTACTATTGGTTGGTGTTACTATATTCATCATTGATTCAGAATCGAATATAATATTCCAAAATCACTGATTGAATATTGTAAAATTTTCAAATACAAATGCAGTTGAATACATAGTCTATCTTGGAGGAAAAGCTATATCTGAATCTTTTCTTTGTGATGATGCCTTAATCACCAAAACATGGTCTAGATAGTTATTTACTGATTTGTGAAACTTGAAGCTTCATTTTGAAATCTTATAATAAAAATGATTTAAGGACTAGTTATTATTTATTACATTAAACTAATCTGAATCTCAAATACAGAGTTTAACATGACATGTTAATTTTAGAAAGATATATATTTGTCAATGTCCTGGACCAAAAATTCATCTATAACTCACAAATAATGTTGCTTTTGACCTATCGATTTCATATTACATCTCTCTATGTCCCGTTGTTGTTGTATATACTACATATTACATTATTATTTCAGACATACGTATGATCTTGAATGACAAGTCCCTTTATGATAAGTACGAAGACTTTATGGTGAGGAGAGTTCTGGCTGTGGATCCCGACACTAGGTGGTGCCCTGCTCCCGACTGCAGGTAAAGTAATATGTATAATTTAATTAATATTAAGTGAATATTTAATTAGTTATGTAAGTTCTATATAGGTAAAATACAATAAAAGTATTTTTTAGAATCATAATACCTAGCCTAAAAATTATTAAAACTTTTTTCAACCAAATTATTTTTTATTTTTTCTCTGTCTCAACAAAGAGTCAAACTATGGGTGAATGAGACCAGACCTCATATGATGTTTAGAAATTATTGAAATAAGTTAGTCCACTGTTCTACATATCATGGGTGATAAATAATCAGAACGCAGTCTTTTTTTAAAACATTAAAAAAAAAAAAAAGACTGCGTCCTGAATATTTATCACCCATGATGTTTAGAAATATTGAGATTTTCATCAAAATCCTTTGCTCCTGAGAGCTAGAAAATGGATTATTAATAATCTATTATATACGAAGCAGGTTTTTACTGTTTTATTTTGCTATAGTAATTTATGTATCAGTACATTATTTTCTTACTGTTTTTTAAAAAGTTGAATGGCTTTTTATTAATATAATTTAAACAGCTATAAGAGTTGTTCTATAATAGTCAGTTAGCCCATACCAAGTGATTTCAACTCGAGAAATTGAATTTTATGATTCAAAAGTTGACTTTTTTTAAGTTCCGCTTATATCAGTGGAACTATGCGTTTCAGTAATAATGATGTTGTATGTAAAATTAAAGTTGTCAAAATTTGCAATAGGATTTGTCACATTCATTTCTCCGCTATCTTGAATAGTTCTCAAGATAATCGTCCTCATAATTCACTAAGTTAAAAAAAAAAAAAAAGTGTTTCCTCTTATTTTTTACATTATTAAACTAGATAACTCTTTATCTTTTCATTTTAATTAAAACTCATGAAAGAGAAAGTTGTTTGACATTAAATTTTCTTCAAAAGTAAGTAAAGTAGTATTATAAAATCTGGAGAGTTTTATTTCAAAATACGTATATTATATATAATACAGTTAAACATAACTGTAATTACAAATCTCTAAATTTAGGAGTGATAGCCAGAAGATTAAGAATATTCAATAATGTCCTGTAAATAAAATTCAATTAATCTGTATTTACCTTTGTTTGATATAATTTATTTTTAATCATCGAAAATATTTATTGATGTACTGTAGAATTAAAACTTTTGAAAGTACTGATTACAGGATTAATGTTGAAGTCTTAAAATAATGATAATTGTTTTGTTCTGACGCAGTTACGCTGTGATAGCTTCAGGATGCGCGAGCTGCCCAAAGATAAAATGCAAGCGACCGGGTTGTGGTTCCTATTTCTGCTACCATTGCAAGGCTGCCTGGCACCCGAACCAGACCTGCGACGCTGCGAGGGCCCAGAGGTCACCCAACGTCAGGTCGTCTTCGTTGTCTTTCAGTCAGGATTCACAGCATCGTAAGTTTATAATTCAATTGTAATTGTAAATAAGGTGATACGTTTCAAAATTTAGGTCAAACTACTCTTTTTATAAAATGTTTATATTCACAAGTTCTCAATCCAATATAAAAATAAAAGACCATGAGATTTCCAAGTTTAAATAAAACAGAATCATATGTTTTTTGTGTCTCCTATAAATGGAATTGGATTGATCGGATTTTGAAACTGATAGCCTCAAATAAAAAAATCTCATCATATATCATATCCTGCGACTGGAAGTATTGCTCAACTGAGCTGATGTTGGTGTTTTAGTTTCGAAAATAGTAATTCAGCGACATTATATTTTTCATCTGCTGAATAACTGAAAATACCAATATAAACTAAATATTTTATTTTCATCATTTTATGTTCTTTTTAACCATGTTGTGTTGTGATTAAACAATGACCACTACTGTTATTCACCTTTTACAATAAGTTTCATTTTAACTCTTTCACTGGAAATTTTTATTTCAGATTGCAAAATAACTTTTTCTCAAAGTTTTTAGTTTTAGCTCAACCTTTTTTATTTTTTAAAGGTTCAAAGAAAATGTATATACCATGATTTTCACTGCAAAGTAAATTAACACATAACTTAAATAGATTTAGGATGATTCACAGCTATTTTTATTCTAGTTATTTGTTGATTCTAGTGATTGACAGTAAACACTCCAAAGGTCGATATGGAAGGTCACTACGGATCTATGAGATCCACTTCACTAAAGCAACTTATTGAATATACTAAATATCAACAAATTTCTCATTGTATTGAAAGAAAAAGATATAAGATATAATATAAGATGAGTTTTGAAGTATATATGTATTGAGTAAAAAACAATAAGATGAGTTTTGAAGTATATATGTATTGAGTAAAAAACACAGTTACTTAATTTTTAAAAAATTAGGGGTTACTCCACCCTGTCCTCCTGATGGCAGACCAACCCCCATTTTACAAATTATACAACTGTTCATTTAATTGTACTACTTGTTGCTCAAATTGTATAACTTTATTTACACTTCTGTAGCCCAGATTGTATAATTTTTATCAATATGAAATAAATTGAACGAAACCACCTATATTATACATTGCGGCTTATTGTCAATTTATATAATTATAATTATTCTTATTGCCAATTTGTGACCATAATATATGTTCAACTTTTCCAGCTTCAATTAAAATATGAAAGTCATTAAAAACATTTTTATATAATAAAGAGATATTAAAAATCAAAACAAAAAATACCTTGACAAAATTAGAAACTTGAATATTAAATTCTGTTTACCATTAAATACGAACATAAGAATCACTGATTACTAGAAACAATTACAATATGATTAAATTGGATGCGTGAATAATTAATACAAACATCAACATCAGTCTCTAAAGGCCTCCAATTCCTCATCGATAGTCATGTCTGCTTCGACTGAATAACATTAGCAGTTTCTGACAAACTTCAAATATGTCCCAGACCAGTCTGTCTATTTCCGCAAATTTTTGATGAGTTTCTCAGTCGTCAAATCTTAGCGCACTCATAGTGGGACGAAACATTTCAATTTCAAATTTGGAATCAACCACTTGAGTTCCACAAATCATCCATATTTTTTTTCTTAGCCCAATGCATTCTTGCAATATATAACAGCCCAATAAAGGCTTTGATTTCAATTATAGCAGTTGCCATTGCATCCCTTTCCCATGAAAAATTTCCAAATACGCTGTCAATCCTCAAGTTTTGTCCAAAAATTGGACGCAACTAAGTTCATCGCACTACTGCATTGTAAGACTACAACAGCAAGGAGAAAACGTGGTCCTCTCCCAAGCGGTTTGAATACAGATCAAATATCAAATAGACACTCGGTGGATCTCTCTGGTAGTACAGTGCAGCGACCTTCAGAGTCTTAATATTATCAGTTCCTTAATATCACCAGTGCATTTTCAATTATTTAATATATTTAATTATTATATTTACAATTTTTTTTTGGTGTTTTGACATGCTACACAAACTGTTATAAGTAGAATAAAAACAAAATGTTAAAAAAAAAAATAATACATTTATATAATTGGCACCATGTTAAAGTAACAATTTAAATTTAGCCAATGTAAACTTATATATACTAATACCCTATATGTAGATAAAGAAAAGTGAACTAACTATTAAAACACAAGTATTATTTGTTCTATAATGATTTACCATAATCATCTAGATAAAATTTTTACTTTGATGTTAAAAATTAAATTGGTAGAATTAGTTGAAGGATAGTTAACTGTAGTTATGGTGTTTGCAAAATAAATAACAAAATATTTATGATGATTTATGGTACAATAACATAGAATTATGATGAATGTTATTTTGAGAGCCCCTTAAAACTCGATAATAAGAATCTGTTATGTTATTATTATATCATTGCATAATCTGTAAATATCGCTATCAACAAGTCACCCAATTACTAATGTAATAGAAAAAATGCAAGAGATAAAAGAGCCCCGTAGATAAGATAATGGACTATTTGCTTAGCCAGTTTGTTATTAATTTGTTGCGATGCCCGCGACAGGTGACGACATCAAGCCATGCCCGAGGTGTCAGGTCCTCATCGTGAAGATGGATGACGGCTCTTGCAACCACATGGCGTGTGCTGTCTGCGGTGCCGAGTTCTGCTGGCTGTGTTTGAAGGAAATATCCGATCTTCATTATCTAAGGTAACTATAATCATAATTATCATTTTTTTTTTTTTTTTTTTTTTTTTTTTTTTTTTTCTTAACCGATACATAATAAAATGCGTTTAAGTGACAGAGGCCCAGTTAGGGTGCATGGGAGCAATATTGGCTATTATGGAAAAAAATGTTTTTACTAGATGAGCCGTTGTTTACAAAAATGGTCTAAGCAGTTTTCACAATTTATAACTAAATAATTTCCAAGTGTATTAACTTCATTTTTTAAAAAGTAAACTGCTCACAAATTGAAGTGGATCTTTTTAGAAAAATTAAATATTATTTCTTATCTTTCATCATAATGATTTCAAACTTTTACAGTTTAAAATAAACCATGTTTACAAGTTATCCCCACAATCTTTATGAAAATTAATGAAAAGGTAAAATAAACAAAGAATATTCAGTTTGTTTCCACAATGGAATTTAATCACCGTAAGAAAAAGATATTTCTCTTTCCCCATCAATACTCATTCAGCTAGAGCTCTAGAGGTTTTTAAATCGCCTTTGCCAAGGTGTAGTGTGCGAGAACTGCGGAGGTTTTGCCTCTCTTAGAATCAGCACGATGTTAAGCCTAGAATTAGTTGCTCTAAAAAATTTATTAGAAAGGAGTTGACCCAACACTAGAGAACAGGCAACACTCAGTTAACTCATGGAGGATGTTGAGTTGGAAAAACTGCCCTTCAGCGGGATTCGTGTTTCAAAAGTTAGCCATTAGGCTACAAGATTCAGTAGCACAGTGCTTTTGATGACATAAGGTTTGGTTGAGGGATGGTGACTTTGTGCGAGAAGATTTTGCCTTGTGCATATGTTGATGTAGACAGTCCGTTATTTTCCATTATTCACAAGAAATCTGTGAAAAGTTTAATCTTGTTGATAAGGATGGATTTCAAAGAAAAAACTGGTTGAATGTTGGAGATGCTATAAGTAATTTCATTTTCAGTAAAATCTATTTTCCCTTCCATATGCTCAGATGATTTATGCTTGCTCATATCTAACCATCTCTGAGCCATTGTTATGTAGAATGTTAATGTACCGTTCATGTATAACATATAACATGCCTGTAAGGAAGTTTATTGTTATTGTTTCCAAATGTTATTCTTAGCACAATAGGTGGTTAGTTAAACATATGTTTAAAAATAAGTACTGAAAAAAGTTTAAAAATAATTACTGAGGCAAAAAAATGCATTGTGAGGATCTTTTTACCTTCTTAAAACAATCAAAATACCAATACAGAAATTAAACTTATTCTATCTATTATCTTCACTGTTTGCAATAGAGGCAGGAATGTTATTTAATATTGTTATTAGGTTCTTTCTAATGTTAAATTGTTTCCAATTAAACTGTTTTGTTCAACTTTCCTGTGATATTAGCTAAGTAGATATTGTATTGATTAAAGTTTATTTTCTGCCCAGTTGCTTAATTTTTGTTTTTGCTATGTTTCAGTCCCTCTGGGTGTACATTTTGGGGTAAGAAGCCTTGGTCTCGAAAGAAGAAGATTTTATGGCAGCTTGGAACGTTGGTCGGAGCTCCGGTTGGAATTGGCCTAGTGGCTGGCATTGCCGTGCCGGCGATCATAATCGGTAATGTTAATTTCTTTTTTATTCAAATTGTCAAATGGTTTTATTATTAAATGATTTATTTATTTACTGTGGATTTTATTATTACTATTTTATAAATTATATACATTTTACTATTAACTTTCCTGTAATTTAATTATTCTTAATAACTTGTTGGGAGACGTATTTAGGGGAGGTGGTGACCATTTACAAAAGGTTCTTACAAACAACAATTATTCTTTAACATTAAGTTGATTAATGTGATGTACAAACTATGCTTTCAACTATTCTCAATAATACTCATGCCTGACTTATACACTTTTGTCACCCCACCATTTTAGAAGCTTAGATGTCCCTTCTCTATAAGGAATTTGAAGGCATTTAGTCAGCCAGCCAGTAATATTATTCTCGTCTTCTTTAGAATCATTTTTCTTAATTGTTTTTGATTAGATTTATTTTTGATATATTATAAATCTAACTGATCTATTCCCATTGTGTTTTTGGTGTATCATCCTTTTTTATGTTAGATTATTAATTGACTCTTTGTGATGAGACTGTTCAGAAGTAAATTAGCATTAACTGCATAGGTGCATTACCTGACTAAAATATAAGTGATTGGTACATATAGTTTATAAGAATCTCCGATTGGAAGAAAATAAAAAAATGTAACGATATATATTTACAGGCAAGTTATCACTTATATTGTCCATTTATTATAATGGCTTATAATAACTCACCATACACAAGGAAAGGACTAATTCTTCCATATTCATACTTCAACAACATTCTTGCTTAAGATAATCCTGAAGATGAAGGGGAACTCTGAAACGTTAGTTCTGGTGATCTCCAAGTATATTTATGAATATCCTTATGTTTAAACGTAGTACTTTTAATTATTAGGTTTTTTGAGATGGCAAAATTTATTAGCTGAATTTCATTATCCTTACTGGAGAGCAGATCGTCATGCAGTAAAAATCTGAAAAATTTGCAGCAAAAAATTCAAAAATTACAAAACTGTGCAGTAAAAACCCAAAATTGTCTAATTTACATGAAATAAAAATTATTTTCCTTTCACCTAATACCTCTTTTAATTGATAAAAAGACCATTCAACATGAACTGATGTAAGGAGACTCATTTTGTAACAAGCAACCACTGCTGGTTCTTTGTTAACATTAACATTTATAAATGGACGTTAGTCGACTTTTCTACATATCATGGGAGATAAATATTCAGGACGCAGTCATTATAAAGTTTTTATTAGTGCCGACTGAGTCAGTACTTGAATACCTTCAGTGCACAAACCATGCCCTGAAGATGACTCACATGTTTTGGTTAAAACGTCGCCACTAAGAAAAACTTTATAATGACTGCGTTCTGAATATTTATCACCCATTAGCATTTATACCGTTAATGCAGTCATTATATTTTTTATAAGAGCGTAACCTATATTTTTTTCTATTACAGATTAAAAGTATTGAGATAAATTTTTTTTCTATTTTAATATTGATTTTTTAAAGATTTTCTCCTACAGTTTATATAATTTCAATTCGTTTATTAAGTGACAAATTTTGAGATTCTAACTTAATGTTTGTGGAAAATTTGACAAATATGATTTTATGAATGTAAAATTGGAAATTATTGATGCCGAATGCATTATAATCTACGATTCACTTCAAAGCGGGAAGGGATACTGAAGGACTTAAGAAACAGTAAGCATTCAAGCCAAAACAAGGAAGACAGTTTTTTTATTGAATTACTTCAGGCAAGTTCTATTCCACTAATATTCTGTCTGAAATTGTGTTTACTTTGTCCTTTTGTAACTTTAAATTCGAATCTTTGTCAATCACAGAATCATTTACCTTTCTTATACTTTTCTTTCTTATATTACAAATTTAATATGGACAAGATAGTAAAATAAAAAAGTAAATATTTAAACAAATATATATTTATATTTATAAATCATTTAATTTAGAACAAAATGTACAGAAATGTGCAATTTAATGCTACAAAAATTAAATAAAATCGTGCAATTTAAGCCAAAAACGGCAAAACGTACAATTTCGTGCAATATAAAATTTAAATATGTTATTTTACAAATCCTGAAACAGATAGATATCCGGGATTTTCACATTCATCGAACGAATAAAATGTGCAATAACGTGGAAATCCGATTTCTAATCATTACTATAGTCATGTAAGCTTTTTTTACTGATCGTAAACGTTTTCCTTTCCCACCTTTGCATTAGCGCCTCCCGTTTTACCTTAGAAAGATCCACGAATGTTTGGTATTTTTTCGAACTGTAGATATGTGAGTAGGGTGTTCAATCCTACGTGTATTAACTTGAATGTACAGGTTTAATTATTATTATTTCACCTTACAGAATTTATTGAAATGAATAGCTGTGATACTATCAGTACTATGTATTAGGCATAGGACTCATTATAAATAACTGTGACACTAATAGTACGAGGGTGGTCTGAAAAGTTTCCGACCGCAACATGAAGATGGCAGCACTAGTAAATAAAAGCAAGTGAATTTCGCTGTTCATCTGTTGACAGTTACCCACCAAAGTTTCAGCCATTTTGGATGAGCAGTTTTTATGTAAGTCGTTTGAGTGAGTTGATGTGAGTATTTTTGTGAAAATGGACAAAATCGAGTATCGAGCTGTCATTAAATATTTGTTTTTGAAAGGCAATACACCTATGCAAATCAAAGATAAATTGGATTTTGTGTATGGGGACTCAACAGTATCATTTACCACAGCAAAATTTTGGGCAGCTGAATCTAAACGTGGCCGTAAGAGCTTGGGAGACGATGAATGCTCGGGACGTCCAAAACTGCAACTACTGACGAAAACAACTGCAAAGTTCACCAAATGGTGCTAGACAACCGCCGAATTAAAGTGAGAGAGATAGCAGATGTTATGAACATGTCAAAAGAACATGTTTGTTACATATTAAATCATTTAGATATGAGAAAGGTGTCCGCACGTTGGGTGCCGCGTTTGCCAAAAATACAAGACAGAGATTTTCGTCAAATGAAGAGGCAATCACCTTCGTGAACAATTATTTTGCAGAGAAAAACGCCAAGTATTGTTTGGACGGGTTACAGAGATGGGAGCATCGCTAGTAGAAGTGTGTAGAGTTACAAGGAGTCTATATTGAAAAAAAAAAATTAAAAAAAAATGGCTTGTATTTTTGTTAGGTTGGAAACTTTTCAGACCACCCTCGTATTATGTATTAGGCGTAGGACTTACAATAAATAACTGTGACAATATTAGTATTATGTATTAGACATAGGACAATTATTTTGACTCACAGGTCGCTTTTGATTTTATTATTTCTCTTTGCACTTGTTTAGTTATTTTAAACTTGATCTCATACTAAATCCATTTTACCTTCTCATTGCCGAAAGTATGGAACCTTTGTGGCCAGGAGGATAACACAGCTAGACAGCTTATCACATTAATTGTTGGTGCGACAGGTTTGCTGGACTAAGATTCCGATTATTCGGCATTGATAGGGTGACTGGTCCCAAGGCAAATGAGTTCATCAATCCAACGAGCTTACTACAGTTCATTGAGACTGCAGGAATTACGCTCTAAACAGGAGTGACTTTAAATAAGGCGTAAAATAGGCCTACACGGCCGGAGTGGACTCATGCCACTTGATATAAAAAAAAACATGGACCCTTCGTATTCATTTAGAAAGGGATCTAAAACCTACTTACATTAATGCGATTTTGATTAAAGTTTTAGGTGTTGTGTGGGTTGGTACCTAGATAGCTCAATATCTATTTTATCAAATTCTATCCACTTCTTTCTCTTACTCATTTACAAATTATTTTCCTTAACATACATACCATACATTTAAGAAATGGCTCATTTAATATGGTCCAAGTTGGAAAAAATTGGGGACTTGAGTGAAAATGTTGTAGTATCAATTTTATCAAATTCCATTCCTTTCGTGTAGGTACATAAAGAAAATTAATATTTAATTATTAAAAGCAAATAATAAGAATACCTAAACGATTTATAGTAATACCATTATAATAATATTTAAGAGAGCGACACAGCTTAAGATGCATATCTGAAGAAAAAGAGCGCTTCGGGCACATGACAAGTAAAATAATTGTTTTTAACTTTTTAACCAATTTAGATCAAATAATTTTATAATGAAAAATTAAATTTCAATTATTGTTATTATGAAAAATAAGTAAAAAATATTTTACTAGAAAAATTGAGAAATCAATCAAAAGGTGAAACTGTTAAATATCATAAAAAATTAAAGAAAGATAAGAATTTAACTATGCATTGGTATTTCTCACTTAATGATGTATTAATATGTAATAGTAAAAATAATTAGAAAGTAGGTCATTATAGTAATAGTTTAAAATTATAAAATATATTTAAAGGTAATGGGTGATAAATATTCAATATGCAGACATTATAAAGTTTTTATTAGTGTTGACGTTTCAACGTAAACATGTGTGTCATCATCAGGGCATGCTTTGAGCACTTTATTATTATTATTATTCGAGCACTATATTTAAAGGTAATAATAATTGTTTATAATAATAATAATATATTTATAAAATTGTTTTACACAAAATGTTCATGAAGAAATGAACAACTGTTATATTATAATAAGATAAGGGTTAATAAGTCTCTTCTATAAAAGAAATATTTATAATCACTGAGTAGAGTATTCACTAATGGATCTGAATTGAGTTAAGTACCTATCTATATTATTTATAGTCATTAAGTAAACAACTGAGGAAATAAAGCAGAAACCTAAAGATTGTGAAAATTTGTACCTTTAGCATACTTGGATCTTGCCATTTTGGGAAAAATTCCAAACCTTTGTAATATTGTAACCATCTCATTTTTGCACTTAATTCTCTGTTCCCTGTGCCATAATTTGACAATAACTCAGCTATTGGAGTACTTATATATTGTTCTATGTAATACATAACTGACTGTAATAGGTTGTTGATTCTAAATGTAATACATATGCTTCTACATAATACATAACCGACTGTAATAGGTTGTTGATTCTTAATGTAATACTACATATGCTTCTCACTTTTTCATTAGTTGTTATGGATCATTTAGGATAGTAGTTCTTTTGTGCTAAACTACCTTGTCAAAATCATCTGTTAGTTATTGATATATTTTTTTTTTCTTAACGTGAAGGTATCCCAGTGTGGGTTGGTAGGAAACTGTACACCCGCTACGAACATGCCAACAAACACAAAAGGAACATCGCCATCGCTGGAGGTGTGACTGCGTCGGTGAGTAGAGATTATATTTAAATAGTAGATTGTTTATCTTCTCAAATTATAGTTGTTTCTCAATGATCTGTTGTCTACTCCTAAGGCATGATAATTTATATTTATTTGAAAGTAATTAATTCGTATTGACGCGATTTATGCTTCAGTAGCATTATCTCACACTGTAAATAGAATTGTTGTTTTTAATGTACCTATTCGCAGAGGCAATGGTCTTCTAAATTTCTCTATACTTTATTTAGATATATATATATATTTTTTTTATATTAGTATTTTAGAATAATATGCATTATCATCGGGTTTTCGTCTGGCAATATTCTTTTAATATATGCTATCAAAGATCCCAACCATTGGTAATTTAAGAGAAAAAAAAATATGTATCTCAATGCCCAAGACGTGATGTTAGTGGTATAAATCACTTGATCTGCTTGTATTTATTTTAAAAACCAATTTAGCGTTATTGGCATTACAAGTTTTATTGTTAAGAATATTCGAATCCTAATGCCTTTTTGCAAGATTATAGATTATCTTCCCATCAGACAATAAAAAAAAATGATATAAAATTATGATGATAATAAGGATTTGCAGTCTATAGATATGGTTTATTAGAGTTGGCGATCATTCGACCCGAGCATATGCGTGTTCAGGGCTAAAAAATTAAGAGCAATAAAAATGATATTATAAACATAACTTATAGACTGAAGTATAAAATTAAAATTAAAAATGGAAACTAGACATAACATATTAGTAATATAAAAAGAATAAAAGTTTATATTTTTCTTGGCGCTCTATCGTGTTTATATTACTATTATGTTATGTTACTGTTATCTTGTGTACTTGCCATCTTTTCATTTTATAATCGACCCTGTATCTTACATTTCTGATATATTTTTTAATTTATGTGCTCTGATGACCACTTGCTTGGGTCAAAACATTGGCAACTCTAATAAACCACATCTAGACTGAAATGCAAATGCTGACTAATTATCATCATAATTTTAAAATAATAGTCGAAAAAATATCCATCTCTAAGTTATTTATATTAAATTAACAAAAAATAAAACATAACTTGTTTCAATGGATTAAAAAAATTCATAAGGCTTTAGATATTGCAGATTGTCCTTGAAGAAAACTCTTTAACTTTTATTTTTAATCATCCACTATTATCTTTTTAAAACTTTAAATCAGCATGAAATATCACAGTTTTAAGATTAATGGCATTTTTAAAAATTACTGGACATACTTTTTACCCAAATTTATTTGGCAAAAACCATCTTGGAACCAAAACCCCAGTTGTTCCAAAACTGCAAAATTAAATTAAACGAATATTCATAGTGTAAATTTTAGGGAAATCAGACTATTTAAATCATAAACATTTTCTGGAAAATTGTATGATAAGAATTATCAAAACTAAAAATTTATAATGATTATGGGAATAAGATATATTTCATTGAAATGAGCTGCTTATAAATAAAGTGATGCAATTATTTATTTATTTTTTCTTTTGGCTTACATTATAAATAATCAAGATTTTCATTAAGCATATGTTTATTATGTTTGCTGACATTTCATCCCAATCTAGTAAGAATCAGAAATATAAAATGAAGATCGATTTACTGAATAAACCAAAAGGTGAAAATAAATAGTAAACACAAATGAAAGATAAATGAAGTAGTACGAAAGCAAATGATAATTAAGGTGCAACTATCGCTATTGCTACTAAAAAAAAACCTGTACCACTACAACCTATGAAGGGTCTGGGGTTCATTACTATTTAGGGAAAGCACTGTTTCTAGGTCAACGGTTGTGCAAGGAGGTGATTTGACCGAGATCACGCTCAACCACCAGGTTTTCCCCCTTAACCAATTACTTAATTAAGGGTACCCACTTTATAGAGGCTGGGTGTGCCCCAGGAGGGACTCCTGACCCAAGGTCGCCCCCACGGCCAATGAAACAGATAAATAAATTTTCTGCAATGAGCCGGGGTTCGAACTCGGGACCTTTGTATTGGAAGCTCAGTGCCCTACCACTGAGCTACCCCGCTTCCTTTGCTACTATAGTTAACAATAAATTAGTTCAATTTTAGAATTATAAAAATAACTGAAATACATTAGAATAATATTATAAATTGAAAATTTTAATAAGTATGGAGAAAACCAGATATAATAATATTAAAAATGAATAAAAAGTAACTAATATTTGAAATAGTAGATTAACAACTAGATGGCAACCCTTAAGCTAAAAGCTTTACAGGCGATAAAAAACATATTATGAATGAATATACTGGTCATCTATCATCCTTAAAAATAATCAACAAAAAATCATCTCTATATTTCTTATTTCAATTATAGAATAAACAATTTAATTTTATCTGGAACTAAATCTGTTGATATTAATACAAATATTTTAGAAAGAAGTGTGATTTAAATGTTTTCATATTTTTGAGAATTTTTAAAAAAATATATCTTCCTGGAAGGCCTTGATTATAGCATAGGTAGTTAGATCATAGTAACCTATTACCAGCTGGTCCCTGTTAATAATTGGAATGGTGAAGTGATTACTTACTATTATGGAAAAAAATAATATTAAAAATGTGAGTAATAAAAGTATGCTTTTCTTATTTCTGATAAAAAATGTCGATTTAATTTTATTAAACTTTGCGGTAACGAATACAATCTGTTTTACCTTCTGGAATGGGCCTGTGAAGTCGGAGGTGAGCTGTGAAAACAGAAATTAATGTAAAGTAGGATTAATTTATTTTTGTTAATGTATTGATTGAATTGTAATAGAATGTGAAAATAATGTAAATACGTACGAGTCTACAAGCTAATGTGAGGTGATTGTCACCTGACATTGTAATCTTGGTCAAAGTTTTTATATAACACTAATGGGATAACATTTTTGATATCATTTTGAATTTTTTTTTTTACTTTTATTATTATCAGTGAATATGATCTTCAAAATGATGTCTCAATGATTGATTTTTGTTTGTGGTATTAAGGGATGATTAGGAGTAGTTAGATAATAATAAAATCTGGTGCAGTGCGCGCATCACACCATTTTCACGTATAACTTCATTTAAAACAATTAATTACCATGTTTTCCCCACCCATCAAATCAGTTAATTTATACATTTGTATCACTTTCCATTTCCTTTTACATCTCTGTATAATATTAAATAATGCTAATGATTGTGGGAAAAATGGATCTTCTGAATGGTTTTCGTTTTAAAAACAAAGATGTGAACTCAAATCGCATTTTTTTTTTTTTTTTTTGCATTTTGCAAATATAAGCTTAACCTATAATGTTGGAGATTCAGTTTGAAATTGGTTACTAATTTCAGCAACTACCTGTCCCATTTGAAAATCATTTTCGTATTATGTAGAACATATAGTGGGTGGGTTTCGATAGATCGGGTAGATTGAGGATGCCTTTAGGTCTTTTAACACCATCCTATGAATTAAACGTCAAGACCATTATGAACAACTCTAGCACAATGATATACTTTTAATCACATTGGAGTCTTCCCTCAGGCCGATCTACGGGGGGGGGAGGGGAGAAGGTAGATGAATGGTAAAATATAACCATGTTTAATGTAAAGAATTATCTCTTAAAGTATTATTGTTCGTCTAATTACATTTAATAGGACTTAAATAACCACTTAATTCACAGAAAAAATCTTTCTGGCTAAATCCCGCCCCAAAATTAAATCCTGGATCCCTTAATGAGTCTTCCTAAAGAGAGGGAAGTTAACCTTAACTATTTATATTAACTAAAGAGTGGGCCTATCTGGATTATCGATCAAAGAACTGGGAGGAAGGTTTTTTTTTAGTCAACCCACCCTTTAGGGTAAACGGGAATTATCCTGGGTCAGGGGAGAGGATGGGGGATTAATATGCCCCCCATATTAATAGGGAATAAGCTCAGCGAGAAAGATCTAAAAATATCCATTTCGCAGAGCTAACATAATTATTTTATTGAATTTATCCTTAATCAGGTTGCCGAGGTGCACACACGTTAGCCCAGTAATTTTTTAATCGTTTATAACCTCCGTTATCAGCTTTCCCAGCAACGCATGGTGCTGTGCACACGGGTGAGACCGCTCGGCCACCCCGCCCCACCTGCTCTCCTTGTCTCCTGGTATGTAACTCAACCGCGCGAAAATGTAGATGGCTCAACTTGCCATTAAGCTTCCTTCTGGTAATCCCCCTCCTCACACTGCCGTGTTGGTCAAATTGAAGAGTTCTATCGTATTTCTATCAAATATATTTTTTTTTGAAATTTTTACTTTCCTACCTATACTAGGTAAGGAAAGTATTGCAATAGGGTCAAATTTCCGATATGCGGTTTTCGACGGATCTATACGTTTCAGAGCCCTCTGAGTCCGAAAAACATTTTTAGCCATTGGTCTGTCTGTCTGTCTGTGCCAAGATTTTCTCGAGAACTACTGACCCGAGTTTGTTGCTTCTTTTTTTATTTTGTAGGGTTTTGACTACTCATGCCTGTGACAGAAATTCGGTGCTCCATGCGCAAAAGGTTGCGCGCAATAAATGAAAAACATGTTTTTCTATAGACTGTAGCTCGAAAACGGCTCTAACGATTTTGATGAAACTTTCCTATAATGTTCTAATCATTGTCCTTTCAATTTTCGTATATAGACTAAATTCCCGAAAAACATCAGGAAAAAAGTTATAAATAAAAGAAAAATGTTATGGGTCTAACTTCCTAAGTATATATTATACGGCAATATTTATAATAAAACTTTTGAAAGATAATTAAATTACCAACAAAACAAAAAGTAAGATTACGGATTCATATTCTGGTGTCAGTCAGAAAGGGATGAATGAGAGAATAAAGATGACTAAGTGAAAGTAAGAAAATCTGTTGCCCGAATCACACAAGCTTCAATATTTTCTCTACTTTTAACAAAAATTATTGTTTGACAAAATTAGGCTATGGGAAAAAGTTTTTGATCAGCAATATTAGTGAGAATTGAAATGTTT